GAGGAATGGACATAGGCAGTGGCAGGGACCCTTATCAGTTTCCCTCCATCCTTTGGGGCAGTGGGGCACAGGGCCTCAGTCCAGATGGCATCACTGAAGGTTAATAGGACACAGGGTTGTGTTCAGAGGTGTGGACAGGATGATAAAAGCAGGAGCTGAGGAACCCCAGGGATCACCTGCCACGCCTGCACCTGCTGGGGAGTCTGCAGAGCTGGAACCATGTGGAAGGCGGCTGTGTGCCAGGACCGGAGGTGTCCCTGGGGAGGATCCCAGCTTCCACCTTGCTGTGCTCCATGCAGGACGGAGCTTCCAAAGCTGGGGAAGGCAGCATGTTTTCTCTGTCTTGGCATGATGGGCACCTCCGTTCCTTACCTGTCCCCCAGTCTGCCTCCCCGTTGCAGCAAGGGACAGTCAGTCCCGCCTAGAGGGTGCTGGGCTCCCCTGTGGCCTGGGCCTTGGGTTCAGTAGTTGGGCTGTGGGATGCTCTGGGTTGGCATGGGTGCTGAGTGGACAGAGTCAATTACACAGTGAGCATGTAACACGACTCCGACTTTATAAAATATGAGTTACCTGTGACGGGGACTGGAGGGAACGGGGAAACATCGAGTCAGCTCAGCTGTGGCAGTCATTTTCCCCGTTAAAATACAACTCCCTTCGTGTCGTGTCATCTCACCAGTTAGAAATAAGCTGTGGGTCAGAGGGTGGTCTGGGGACTTAGCAGCAGCAAATGGAGCAAACCATCCGTTAAAGGATTGCGTTATCTGCAGGGAACAGAGGCTTAGAACTGGGGACCGCACATCCCCAGGCTGAATTAGCACAGGGTGGTGGGGGTGGGGGGCTGCCTTTCCTATGCCATCCTTAGAGGGGGCCTGAGACCCAGGGCTGTGCTCAGGGCAAGTGGTGGCAGTGGGTATGTGCTCTATCTCAGATGACTGCCAGATTTCCCCAAAAAAAGTTTTTCAGAAATGAATTTCATTTGCTTGTGCCAAAATAATTTTTGGAATGCATTGGTCAATGTTTTCTTAAAGTAGAGAATATTGAGGCAGATTTCACCAAGTTTTTTAACATGCACTAATTTTTCAAAGAAAAAGATGGCACTCACTTTGTTAGATAGGGCAGGTCATCTGTAAGCCAGAGTGGCTTGAGCAGAAGAGGGAATGTCTGGGGTCTTCACACGGGTACTCCTGGATCCAGTGTGCAGTGTTTCGGGGACTTGGTTTTTCTTCCTCTCTCAGACCTGTCTTCTGCCCCTGGCTTCCTTTTGCTCATTCCACGTAGTGGACTTTGGGAGTACAAGGCCCATATCCTCCTAGGTTTAGATCTGCAGAAGACAATTTTTAAAACATCTCTGCTTTTGGAGAGGTCTTGGAATCACTGTGATTGGGCCAGCTTGGGTCATGTGATCACTCCTGAGCTCCTCTCTGTGGCTCCAGGCATTTGTTGCTCTGATTGGCTGGACTCAGGTCACAGTCCCATCATTGCATGGGCTGCGTGTGTACATGCATGCGTGTGTGTGTGTGTGTGTGTGTGTGTGTGTGTGTGTGTGTGAAGGTGGCTGTGTCACTGGCACGTGCCAGAGAACACTGGGGGCTAAGATGGCAGCTGTTCACACCAGCTTCTGGCCATGAACTCCCTTTCCATGGAACTGCAGGCCTGGACTGCAGGCAGAGCTCGTGCCGTGGGTGTCATGTGGTCACCCCTGTCCAATGTGCCTTTGGTGAAGTCCCAGACTTCTGTCCATTTCCACGTTTTGGATTTGGGGGAACGTCAGCACTCTTCTCCATTCTGATTATTCTACATCCAGGCCCCTCTCAGCCTGAACCACCCCCCCAGGGGGCCACAAACTTGTCAGTGTCACGGTACTGAGAGTGAGTGAGGCCTGGGTGGGTCACTCCCTCCAGCAACTGGATGGGACACCAGTTGCAAACGACAAGCTGCAACAGATATTTTGGGGTTACTTGGCCAGCTGTCTGCTGCCCCCACCTATTCACAGGAGTCACCTTCCTCCTTCCCAGGCAGCCTCCTGAATACCAGATGAATCAGAACCCCTTAAATTTGCTGAATTTCCAGCCAGCGAACACACACAACAGACCCAGAAGCAGAAGGTGACCAGCCTGGGCTCCTTGTGCCCCTCCCTTGCTGACCTCGGTCACCACAGGCTCCCCTTGCCTGGCCTGGAATTTTTTGAATGGAAACCCAGTCTGGAACTTTAGTGCCTATCTTTTTCTTCGCCGTCTTCCTGAGACCCTCCACACTGGCACAGGTGGCTGTGGGTGGCTATAGTGCCTGGTGCTGCACTTCAGGGCGGGCCCCATTTCTTTGTGCTGCATCTGTTAGTGGGGGGTCAGTTGGGAACACCCAGCTTGGGGCCGTTTTATTAGCGCTGCTTGGAACATGAGTGTGTCTACGCCGAGGCCCACTTGCTACCCGGGTGCAGGTCCAGCACTGGAGTAGCTGAGTCGAGGCTCTGTAGAGTTTGTTTTATAATTTTTAAATTAGATTCTGGTGTTTAATTGGCAGCTTGTTTTCTGTTTTAAGGGGAGAAACGGGAAGGACAAGGAGGTCCCTGGAAAGGCATATCCTGTACTACCTACATCTCGAGGGCTGTGTGTGCAGTGATCCCCGGAGCCCCACTCCCAGGTGCTTCTTCCCAGGGTGTTCAGACTCCCTGTGCTGGGACCCCCAGGCGGCTGTCCCCGCCCATAGGACAGGTCCTGGTTGGAGCCACAGAGCAAGGTGCATGGGCCCTCCCGCCACATCTGTGGGGTCACTGGGTGTGTTTACTGTTTGAAGTAGATGAAACATTCACATGGCTGAAAAACTCCAGCTCTATATCATGAAGTAGGGGGTCTTCTTTCGCCCCCGCCCCAGGCCCTGCCCGGTGGGGACTGTTTTCCTGTGTAGATTCAAACGATCCCTGGTGGCACACAGAGCTTCCTCCTGGGTTACTATGGCCACCCTGAAAGATGCCAGATCCATGTCCCCTTTTTACAGACAGGGAAACTGAGGCTCAGAGTGATGAAGAATGTGCTAGAGGGTACAGGCCCTCACTGAGAGAAACTTGTCTTGCAGGTGTGCAGGAGACACCCCTCCCTGGCTGCAGGTCTGGGCGTCTTGGCAGGTCACCGGGATTTGTGTGTGCATAGGGGCCATGACTGTCACCACTATTGCCGTGAGGGGGACTGGACTGTTTAATTCTCCCCTTTGGGGCTGATTTCTCTTCGGGGTTTGATAGCAAGAGATCTTAGGAGCCTACTGAAGCTGCAGCCCTGAACCTAGTCACCTCCTGTACCCTGTTTCATGTCCACACACCCCGAGTCTCACACCCAAGCACAGAGTGGGCCAGATCTCCTGTCTGCTGCTGGACGTGCCACCCAGGGCTGTGAGTCTCCTCGGGTTTGCTTTGTCACTGCCTCAGGCCGGCAGCAACTGTAACATGTTCCTCACCTGGGCTGTGGGTCACACGATGGCGACAGACTCAGAGGCTGCAGTGGTGGCACTTCCTGCAGGTGGTGGCCAGCGCCTGGCTCACCCTGCTTCGCTCCAGTTGTGCCCACTGCAGCATGCTTTTCTTTCCTTTTAATTGGGGTGAAATTCATGTCATGTGGGATGAACCACTTTAAAGTGCACAGTTCTGTGGCATTTTGTCCACGTAGTATTTGCTCACACAGCCTCTATGTAGTTCCAGAATGTTCTTATCACCTCAGTAGAAAACCCAGTACTCGCTCATCAAGCAGTCTCCTCTTTGCCTCCCCGCACCGGCTCCCACGCATCTGCTCTCCGTCTTTCCCGCTTCCCACGTTCCAAAGCAAAAGGATCGTATGGTGTGTGGCCGGTTGTGTCTGGCTTCTTTCACTGGCTCTGGCACCTGGTTTTCAAGTTCATCCATGCTGTCTCAGGTGCTAGAATTCCACCCTTTTTGTGGCCACATAATGCTCCACTGTGTGTTTATACACCATGTTTTGCCCGTGCGTTCGTCTGTTTAGGGACATGTGAACTGTTCCCCTCTTTGGCTGTTGTGGACAGCATGCCGCTTTGAGCACATGCACAAGCGTGTTTGCTTTGAGTCCCTGTTTTCCATTTTCTTGGGCACATACCTAGGAGGGAGGCAGAATGCAACAGCTGTATTTGGCTCATAGTTTTGCAGGCCGGGAAGCCTGAGCACGTGGCACCGACACCTGCTGTGGCTCCTGGCGACACTGTAACGTGGTGGAGGACATCGCATGGTGAGACAGCCAGTGTGTCAGGGAGCATTGATTTTATAGCAAAGCCTCTCCCTTGATAACCTGTTAATCCACCAATCCAGAGACGTTCTCACCTGGTCACCTCCAAATTCCGTTAGCATATCAAATTAAGTTTTAGCACATGAAATTTGGGGTCACATTCCAGCCAAGGCGCTGGGTCCTATGGTAACTTGTTTGGCTGGGCGAGGACTCCCAAGTCTGTTGAGCACTATTCACACATCCAGAGTCTCCCAGAGCCAGTGATGGGGGTCCACGTGGCTGACCCGGCCCACCGTGGATTTCAAGGTCGGTTGCTCTTAGTGGGGTTGGGTGGCTTGGCTGCAGCCTGCAGCGCACCCTACTCCATCTCTCGGGCCAGGCGCTCCTGCTTACTGCTCTCAGCTCACCTCCCCACCCTCTACTGGACTTTCCAGGGGCCTCCCTGGATCGAGCCCAACTCCTCACTATGGAGGGAACATAGTGGGTGCACAGCAGAGATGGCCACATAGTGACTTTGCACAGAGGAGGGCACATGGAAGGTTTGAAGCAGAGGTACACAGTGGGTCTGCCGCAGAGGCAGGTGTGCAGCAGAGGTGGGCACACAGTGGAGGTGCAGGAGGGCAGGTGTACAGTAGAGTCTTATAAAAGGACCCAGGAGGGCCCCTCTTTCCCCTCCTTGCTTGCAAATATAACTGACTTCCTCTAATCCTCAGGGCAGCTGCAAAGAGACCGGGAGGTGGCAGCTGCTGGGAGGCAGCGACAAGGCTCTCAGTGGTGCCCATGGCTGGCCAGGACCCTGCGCTGAATAAAAGTCACCCGTTCTATGATGTGGCCAGACATGGCATTCTGCAGGTGGCAGGTAGGTGCCCAGACTGGGCAGTGAGGCCTTTCTCTGGGTCCCGTGGGATTGGGGTGGGCTCTCAAGGCTGTCCTTCCCCAGCTGGGCTGTGCCCCAGGGTGAAAGCCGTTAACAGAGTCGGTGTCCTGAGAAAGCAGTGATGTCCAGGTCAAAGTGATACCGAGGCTCTGGGAAGCCGTGGGGCGTCATCCCATCACTCTGTGCAGTGCAGAAGCCCTGCTAAGTGGATTGGTTTATTAATTAAGGGCACTGTTAAACATATCTCAGCCAGAGCAACAGACATCTGTAAAACTGAGACGACAGCAACCCCACGTCCACGTCTGCAGGGAACGCACCACTTCACTTTAACGTAAGCCAGGATCAGGCCCTCGGTGTGTGCCTCTCATGTGGACAGTGACCCTAACTCTTGCCTCTAGGTCCCCTGCAGCCCCGTCACCACTGGCTCTCACCTCCAAGGAGCTGGAGCCTTCAGAGGTGATGGACAAAACGTGACATTCATCTGGAGATCCCTGAAACGTGAATAGTAAATATTTTGGTACAGGAGGAGCGTTGAGAGCACAGGGGTTCAGCCGGCACCCAGTCATTTGAAATCCCTAGTGTCCTTTCTAGAGAAAGGGCTGATGGAGGAGAGACTGTGGCAGGAAGGCAGGGAGGGGGAAGAGAGATTCATGAGTGCTACAGTGAAACAAAGGAAAACCGGAGTTGGGGAATGTTACCTGGAGACCAGAAAAGGGTCACCTCGCTGCAGAGGTTAAAACAGCCAATGAAATGACATGTGATTATATATGGGACAAGCTGTACCCCTCCCCCCATTTCTATAACCTTTTTAAACGGTATATAAGAAAAGTCCCCTTCGTTCTCGGTGCTCAGCCTTTGGATTTGAGTCCACTGGGTCACTGCTGGATTGCTTAATAAACTTGCTTCCCAAAAGCTTTGGTGCCCTCTTGGCCTCTGTCTGAGCCCTCCTGCAACAACACTAGGCCAAATATGGGGGACACAGACCCAGCGCGACCCAACCAAAGCAAGGAAGAAAATATTTTTCATGGGGCATAAAAGTATGTTATTTATGCTAATAAAGAATAAGCTTATTTTTTTAAAGGACTGAATAAGTATTTTAAGGTTTTCTGTTTTAGGTCTCTAGCATGGCAGAGATCTGTAGATATAACCTACAGTTTTGTTGTTGCTGCTTTTGTGGGACTGGGGTTTGAACTCAGGGTCTCACACTTGCTAGGCAGGTGCTCTACCACTTGAGCCACTCTGCTGCCCCTATAACCCATATGTGTTTAAAAACCTCTGTAAGGTCCTTAATAGTAACCTTAGAGTCCTGCTAAGTTCTGAGACCTGGGGGTTTGAAAACCTCCTCATAGCCTTGTACGTGACCTACCGTGAGAATGTCCTGTGTGCTGGAAAAGACTGTGTGTTTACATGGTTGGGTGGAGCGTTCTATGACTTTCAGCCAGGTTAAGTTGACTGATAATTCAATTGTTACATCTTTTCCACCCTTCCTTTTTGTGTGCTCTGTCCTTTACCAGCAGAGAAGTGTTCAACGCTCCCAAAATTGGACTTTGGTTTTCTCCATCCTTGTTCCATTTGTGTTTGGTTGTTTATTCGTTTGTGGAGCATTATTTTGTTTTGTTTTTGAGACAGGATCTCTCTACATAGCCCAGGCTGGTCTAGAGCTCACTTTGTAGCTCAGGCAGATCTTCTGCCTCCGCATCCCAAGTGCTGGGATTGCAGGTGCACTGCCATGCTTTGCTCACTCCATGTGTTTTGATGCTTTGTCACTAGGAGCACATATGCTTGGCATCGTGTGTCTTCTTGATGTGTTGGTCATTTTATTGTTGATAAGTGGCCTTCTTTGTGTCTTCCTTGTCTCCAAGTCTGATTTTTCTGATGTTAACATGACCACCCAGCTATCCCAGCTTTCTTGTCCTTGGAGCTGGCAGGGTACACCTCTCCATCCTTGCTCTTCCAGCCTGTGTGGGTCTCCACGTACAGAGTGCATGTCTTACAAACGGCTAGGCATTGGTCCTTTCTCTTGGGTTGAAAGGTGGTCACATAGCAGGAAGCACCTTCTCAAAGGCCAGTTGGGCACACTGAGGAATTTGCGCTTGGCATGGTGACTCTGGGGCCAATTAGAGGACGAAACTGGACTCGTGACTTAGAATTATTTTGTTCTGTGGGATGGAGAATGCTGATGGCAGCTACTACATGCAGTCAGGGAAGCTGAGAAGAGCTGTCGTGGCTGGGGAATCCAGAGGGAGGGATACTTTTGGGAGACAGCTTTTCAGATGGTAAGCTGGAGACCCAGCTGAGCCCCTGAATGGGGAGGGGTCCCTTGCAGCGTGGGATGAGGGTCTGGGGGATGAGGTTGAAGTTAAGAGAAGTAACTTGGCCTCTTTGGCTTGGCCTCCACCTGCTTTGCTGGTGGATACTCTGGAGGTGGGCTTTGGGCCACCTGGGGGGTATGCCTTCGGCTCCTTCCAGAGACACTAGGAAATTGTCACTTGAACCACGTCTCCACTGCTATAGATTTCCTGAAGGATAGAGTGCAGATGGCGACCTATAGAGTCTAGGTAGTTCTTTTGTTTTGGAACAACGTTTTTATTGTTTGATTTTGAGACAGGAGTTTGCTATGTTGCCTAAACTGGCCTCAAACTCAGAATCATCCTGCCTCAGCCTCCTGAGTGCTGCAATCACAGATGTGCAATACCATGCCTGGCTTGAGCAAAGGTAGGTTTTTGGGGGGTTTGAACTCAGGGTTTTCTGCTCGCATATAAGGTACTCTTAACACTTGAGCCAAACCAGCCCATTTTGCTCTGGTTATTTTGGAGATGGACTCTTATGAACTGTTTGCTTGGACTGGCCTCAAACCTCAATCTTCCTGATCTTAGCCTCAGAAGTAGCTAGGACTACAGGTGTGAGCCACTGGCACCTGGCTTGGAGCAAAGGTTTTGAAGAGAGTTTCTTGAGAAGTTTAATCATCTTAGAAGAGCATCCAATGGCCTGGGGCCATCCTGAAAGATGCACCCTTAGCCCGGAGTCATCAGGAGAAGCCAGGGGAAGTCCTGGAGAGAGGACCAGACCAACCAGGCCAACCCTGCACTTGTGGTAGGTCTTACAATTGGGAGCACTTCAAGGAAACCCTAGGTTTTCAACCCAGGGGAACCGACATGGACTAAAGAAGAGGTTAGAGCAAGGTCCGCCTCTATGAGGTCCAGTGGGAGTGCCCAGGGGGAAGGGGGCTGGGTGTCCCTCACTGAGGGTCATTCTTGCCAGGAACAGGCCACCCCCTCTCTCCTCCCAGGGCCTCACCTTGGCTGCCAGCTTTAGCCACTGGTCCCTGACTCTCACTCTTGCTCCTGAGTTTCTGGTAGGCCTAGGGGACATTTCAGGCCCAGAGCCTCCCTTCCCTCTGGGGCCCCTCAGCCAAGAGATCTCCTACATTCTCCAAGCTTCACCAGGTGTGGCCCTACCAAGTGGCTTCCCACATCCTCCCAGGTGCCACTTCCCTGGAGTTCAGCAGCCTGAACTATAACCAAATCTGGAGGCTTGTCAAAACTAACAGTGACACTCCCCGCCTAAGTGGTTATGTGTTTGGTTGAATGGAAGCTCTGTAGAGTTTTAACTCCAGAGCAGTCTTTGTAAGTAACATTGACTTTGGGTTCTAAGGTGGTCATCGTGGACCAGAGTTTGTTTGGGGTCAGAAGCTCCGACATGGGCCTGGGGCTCAGGTAGTGGACAACAGGACCAGAAGACAGAGGTTCTGACCTGAGAACCAGAGGAGGCAGGGGCAGAATCTCAGAGATGTGGAGGGCAAGTGGCAGGAAGAGGAAAAGAAGGGTATGCGAAACCTGGTCCTGCCAGATGACAGATGTCCACCATCCTCAAGTCCACCTCACGATGCATGGCCCGCAGAGGATGGCAGGCTTTCTTTTAGGATGACAAAAATCCTGCATGTCTTCCGATGCCTTCAGCTCCTGCCGAAGCCATTATAGTGACTTTCAAACAAAAGCCAAATGCAAAACAGATCAACGCCCTCATCCCTCCCTCGGCCTGGTGACAAACATGCAGTGGTGGCGTCCACAGAGAGTGAGTGATGCTGTGTTGTAAATAGTGCAGGGAGAAACGGGTCATGAATTCATCCCGTGCCTTGTAGAACTCGCATTTTGTGGCTAGCACTTATTTCCTTCTGTCTTCTATCATCTTGAAGTCTATTTTGGATACGCTGGCCCATATTCCCTGAGAACAACGAAGGGACGTTTGTCATATTGACTGATGTCATGACAGATGCAGCACTGATGGCTTCATAAGGGGAGAGTGGTGTGTTCCTGGCTTCCTGGCGACTGCTGGGAGGCTGTGTCGGCAGCAGGGAGGTTGGGGAACTGGGGAGGGCGCTGAGAGCTTCAGTGACGCAAGGGGGAGGAGGGTGCACCCTCAATCAGCAGCTGTGAGTGCAATCCCACCCCAACACTCGCTTGGCCCCTGGGCCTCAGTTTCCCCACTTGGAAGAAGATAGGACACAGTGTCCCTGGAAGCCCCAGTGTCCTACCTGGTGCATGCTGGCAGGTCATGGTTATTGAGTGCTTACTGTGTACGTCACTTTGCCAAGGCTGTACTCAGGTTACTGATTGACCCCTGCCCGTGGCCCTTCATGGTCAGTTTTATTTTCATTTCAGGTGGCCAGAGAGGCTGGCCTTGGGCTGCCTGGCAGGGAGGGGAAAGGCTAAGCCTGTAGCCTTTGTTCTTTCTGCCTTCCCCTCCTTTTAACTGTTTATTCTGGGAATCTTCAACCACCAACTGCTGCAGTTGCTCTAAGGTTCAAGGTTGTCAAAGCTGAAACTTTAGTTTCAAAGGACATTTAGAAGTTCGTCAATATGAAAATAAAATGCCCAGGAAGAGTAAGAAGCCTGTAATGGTAGCTCACTCCCACAGCTCGGCGCCAAGCAAGACCTCTGAAATAGCAGGTGCTCAACTAGTATTTATCAGAGTGAGTGAATGAACCAGTGCTTTGTAGAAGCAGGACCCCCATGGGAAAACAGGACCCGCTCTGATGTGAATCCTGGATTTCCAACTCATTCCTGTCCCGGTGCCTTTGCACGTGCTGTGCTCTGCCCAGGACTGCTCCATACCCTCATTTGCAGGTGGTAGTTGGAAGGTCTCAGTGTGGTCAGTCTACCTCATAAGCAGTTGCTGACTGAGCTGGGTCCATATTCATTAGGTAGGAACCCATCCTTACAGGCACTCCTCCTCACTCCCTGGCCCAGCTGACCAGGTAACCAGGTGCTGGGCACTGAGTGCTCACTGACATGGGCATCTGCCTTCCTGCCTCATCACTCAACTCACTCAACTCACGGTGCACTCCTTGGGGGCAGGGACCACATCTCATCACCCCCACCCCCAGGCCTGAAGGACGGGTCCCTGGGATCCACCGGGCCTGGGCAGCTGTTCTCCACACCCAGAAGCATTCCAGGCCATGACCTCTGTGTGGGACTCTCAGACCTTCTATAGCCCTGCCTCATGCTGCAGAGCCCACCTCGTGCCCCACAGCCCTCACCCACACAGGCACACGCTGTTCCTCCTCTTCCATCTCCTCCCCGTCCCCATCCCCAGGAGCAGAGGCCTCCCCAACCCTGCCTCCTCCCTGCCCCTCCCTGGCCACTTCCTAGTCCTGGGGGACCTTCTGCCTTCCCCATCTCCTCACTGCCTTCTGTCTCACAGTCTCCACTCAGTAGGTCCTGCCTTAGCTGTCCTCCAGGCAGTGGTCAGAGGCCTTCCAAATGACACTTTGGGCTTGTCCTCACCCTCCTTATCATTCCCCAGTGTCAACAGAATAAGGGGTCCTTCCCACCATCATTTCCCATTCAGCTGCCTGCAGCCTGTGAACCACACAGCTTCTTGCCCTGGCCTCTGAGCACCCCCTGCTGGCCCTCGGCTCACCAGTTGTCCTGGGAGCCAGTGTTGTTGTGTCCACCTGCTTCTCTCTCTCTCTCTCTCTCTCTCTCTCTCACTGGAGCTGAGCTCGGATGCACCCCTAACCTGTCCCCGTTCTGTGCCTGGAGGGTGGGGCTCCTGTGCCCCTGCTGTATGACTTGCTACATGATATAGGACCCAGCTGGCCTTTGTCCCCATTTCTGAGTCCCTTGGAATTTCCCGAAAGGTGGGAATGTATTGGAATGTATTTGTATTCACAGGTGTCTAGGTAGTAATGACAGGGAGGTCACTTAGTGTTCAGACTGCCATCAGAAAGACTGGTCGGAGGCTGAAGGACGGGGAGGGGAAGGGCTGGAGATATAGGGTCAGGGGTGTTCAGAGTCATGCCTAGGAATGAGGCCCCATGGAAGTTCTGGATCGAAAGGCGCACCAGCCTGACTGGCAGGACCTTGTCCTGTGGCTGGTCCTTTGTAATAAACCTGTGACTGTTGAGCACACACAGCCCCAGCATATGATGGTTCAGCTTGAGGCTTTTCAAGTCCCCCCTTGGTGCAAAAGTGATGCACGTTCTGTAGAACTCATCCTTGGAGTTCTGACTTTCCATCTCCTCCTGGCTGGCGGAATCTGGTACGAGGCTCTTTCTCCATGCTGGACAGTGGTGATCAAAGCTCCCAGTCAGCCCCTCCATCAAGGGAGAAGCCACAGGCGCGTCACGTGTGCTGTGCTGCCGCGCTGGCGGGGCTCGGTGGGTCAGGTGCATTTAATGCCTTCAACTGGGGATCTGTTCAACTTACCGTGGGTTTATTGGACCGAAACCCATCCCCCCTGAGGGGCGTCCATATCTTTCCTGAGTTCTGTGAGTTCTATGAGGGACCCCCCAAGTCTGCATCCTGGTGGTCAGAAGGGGGCTGGCTTGGGAACCTCTAAACTTACAGTGGTGTCTAAAGTGCAGGCCATCTTCAAGGGAGGGACCCCATACCCGCCACCTGCAAAGTGTGGTCCAATCCCAGGTAAAGATCATTGTCAACAGAGATGTGGCTACCTGGGCTTCTGCTGGTCCTCCAAGATCCCCCCTTCATGCATACCCTAGGGCCCAGTAGAGACCACCTCTTGACTGGCCTCTCCTGAGCTGAGCACACAGTGGCCTTCAGTAAGCACCAACTGACCTTCCTTGGATCAAAGGATTTCATGCGTTCCCTGAGACTTGCACTTGATCTGATCCTGAAGATGGGGTGCCCAGGGGTTTCTGCCCTTTCGTGCTGACTTAGGCACTTAATCTTTGCCTCTCACAGCCACATCGTCGTTTTCCCTTGCTTCCATGGGATGCACAGACTACGTTTTGCTACAGAACCCCATGACGAGATGGTTGGAAAACTAACTCCTGTGCTCTCAGGGCAGCCATGGAAGGCGCTGTGCCCAGAAGTCCCCACTTGGCAGGAGACACATATGAAAGCGCAGGTTTGAGCGCAGCCTCTCAAGTGTTAGCTCTGAAGCTTCCTGAGGAGCCTGCTAGATAAAGGGTGCTAGACTTGCAGCTCTAATTGCTCTAGAATTCTAAACATCGGCGCTGCTTCCGGGCTCCAGGGAGGACTCGGATGTGCTGTAAATAACAAACAGCTCTCCCAGATAGACAGGGACGTTAGAGAGCTTGCACATGTGCAGGCCTGTGTGTGTGTATGTGTGCATGCTTGTGCATGCGTGTGTAATCATCTGTGGGACTCAGGACCCCATGTCTGAGGAGGCTTGCAGAAAGGAACCTTGTCCAGGTGTCCTGCTCCCATGGCTACAGAACAAAGTGCCACAAACCAGGGGCTTAAAACAGCGAACCTTTGCTCTCCTGGTTCTGAAAAAAAGTGTGAAACAAAGGTGCGGGCAGGGTTGGCTCCTGGAGGCTCCATGGAGAAACTGGCCCAGGCCTCTCCCAGGCTTGTGGCTGTGTCACCATGATCCCCACCTCCAGCAGCTGTCTCACAGCTACTTTCCCTCCTGTGTCAGTGACTCCTTCCCTTGCCTCTTTTTTGTTTTGGGGGTTTTCAGTTTTTTGTTGTTGTTTTGTTTGTTTTAAAGATGCTTTCACTGTATAGCTAAGCCTAGCCTTGAATTCATGGTCCTTCTGCCTCCGCCTCCTGAGTGCTAGGATTACAGGTATATGCTACCTCCTGTCTCTCTGCCTCTGTTCCTCTTCCCCTTACCCCACTGCAGTGCTGGGGTTTGAACTTAGGGCTTCACACTTGCTGAGCAAGCACACTTTGCCACTTGAGCCGTGCCCCCAGCCTCTCCTGCCTCCTGTGCATTTGTCTTCTAACTCCAGGATGATTTCATCTTGATCCTGAACTAATTCCTGCAGTGACCCCATTTCCAAATAAGGTTGCATTCTTCGACTCAAGGTGGACATGAGTTGCATGAGGAGGACGAGGGAGCGGAGAGTGCATGCCCAGGGCTGGTAGAGGGGCTGGGCCTTCTTGTCCATCCCTGGACTCCATCCCGGGGTCTCCTAGGAACAAGAGGCCTTTGGAAACCAGGGTCGTGCCCCTTGCTCACTGTAGTCCCCTCAGCACACGGGCTGAACACCTTGGACATAGACTGTTACTGTGCCTGTTCCTGTCCTCAGGGTGGCCAAGTAGTCACCCTTGCACACACCTGTGTGTCCACAATCAAGTGGGAGCTGCAGCCTGGAGGCCACAGCTGGGGCAGCAGATCCGGCAGAGGGGTGCTGAAGGAAAGGTGGAATTTGGAGGCTGGGGACAGTTGGGAAGGACATGTAAGTGGCAGAGTTGCCAGGACAGGACAATGCCTGCCAACAAGTGAAGATGGCCCCTGCAGCAGGGTCCTGGGAGCTGAGTGATGTGGCACCTGGCAAGCAGACTCTCCTGGCCTTGGACCCATCATGGAGCTGGCCTCCGTCCCTGCCGCCCCAGTCCTTGCTCCTCTGCACCTTGGCATCTGTCTAGATTGTATTTACCTGTGTCCTTGTGTTTAGTTGTAATAAAAAAAAAAGGTCGCAAGTGTCTGGAGCAGGGGTGCCTGTTCTTTTCTTCCCTGTGAATCTGAGCCAGGGCTGTGAGTGAGGAGGCTCTGAGGCCCAGGAAGCCAGGCAGGCTGTGACAATAGGCCGTCACTCCCAGGACATGGCTTTAGTCACAGCCGAAGTCTCCCCTCACCCTCCTTACTGGGGACACTGTCAGGGCCTGGATATGGCTCTCCTGACATTTCCTCCTGCCACAGGTGTGGGAGGTGGGACCTAGAACAGGACAATCCTCCAGAAAGACGCTGCCTGGTTTTATTTCACTAAGCAGTGCAGCTAGCCCAGAGTCCCATGGCTGTCCTGCATGGGGCATGGACAGATGTGTCAAGAGACAGCCACAGCACAGGGTGGCCCAGCCATGATGGGGCAGGACCGAGCATCAGGGTTCCCAAGAGGGTTCCTGTACTGGACATGGGGTCCCACTTGGGGCCAACTGTCACCCTGGCCTCCTCAAAGGCACAGAGTCCTAGGGAAACCCTCAGGGGGAGGGAGGGAGGCTTTAATTTTGTGGGGAGGAGGAGGCAGCAGAGCAGCTGGGCTCTGGTTTTGAAGTCAGATGTGTCTAAACCCCAGGTGCCATCAGCCAGTGGTGTGGCTTGACCCTGGCCACCTAGCACAGCAGCCTCGGTTTTCCATCGGTAAAATGGGAAATGACTTCCAGCCACAGGCCGGTTGTGAAGATGAACTTGGGTGCTGTGCAGGACACACATCCTGAGTACTCATTGGGAAGGTGTCACCAGCCTCCTAGCTAAGGCTGTGCCGGTCCAGGGCCACCCCAGTTCTATGCCTGAGGGTTTTCCCAGGAAGGTGACTGTTGCCTCACACCTGTGTCTGCCCCTGCAGGGGACGACCGCCTGGGGAGACGCATTGTCACGTTCAGCTGCTGCCAGATGCCCCGTCGCACCAGCTCAACCACCAGCAGCTGCTAGAGTAAGTCCCCCCTGCCAGTCCCTCCGTCACCTCCCTCTGGCCTATGTTACCTCCCATCCCCTCCTCCGTCTCTGCCTCCTTTGCAGACTCTGGGCATGTTGAGCTCTTGCTCTCCTAAGTCTACCTGAGGGCCATCTGGGGACACTTCCAGTCACCACGGCTACCGTGGCTGTCACTAGCGCTATCACCACAGTGGGAGCTGGTCTGGTTTCCATTTATCTAGTTGGGCGATGAGGGCCTTCCCTGTGAAGCTGAGGACAGTCCTGGTCCTGGACGTGGTGGTGGCCCTCCAGACCAACAGCTGCTGCCCACCAGGCCCCCACACCACACTATTCCTTTGAGGCCTTCGGGCTGCCATGTCAAAGTTCCTCAGCATGGCAGCTTAAAACAATAGAAAATAGAAGAAGCTGGAGGTGTGGCTTAAGAGGCAGAGCACCTGCTTGGCAAGCATGAAGTGAGTTCAAATCTCAGTTCCATCAAAAACAACAACAAAAAAGGATATAAACATTGACTGGAGGTGTGGGTCAAGAGGCAGAGCAATTGCTTTGTAAGCACAGCTTGAAACCCTGAGTTCAACCCCCCCACACACACAAAAAAAAGAAAACAGAAAAGTCCCCCCCACGGTCCTGGCAGGCAGCTATTAGGATCCTGATATAGGCTCTCTGTGTGGCCCAGGCTGGCCTCAAACCTGTGATCCTTCTGCCTCAGCCTTTCTAGTGCTGGGGATTACAGGCATGGGCCACCATACCTGGCTATCTTCTCTTCTTACAAAGGCATTGCCACTGGATGGAGGGCCACCTAGTCCCGTGTAGCCTCATCTTGGCTAATTACATCTCTAAAGACCCGATTTCCAAATAAGGCTGGATTTCAAAGTTCTGGTAGAATGGGTCAGAGAAACACTATTTAAACCCGGGGCTCTGCTGCCATTGTCACTGGCTCCGGGTGTCTGTTGAGCTCCTATTATGTGAGCACATGAGTCGCCACACCAGGCCCATCTCTGAGTGGAGGGGATCCACCCTGTGGTTTGGGATGGGAGCTACAGCTGGGAAATGACTCTGAGACAAGGCGGTGGGACCTAGTGGTGGCCCGATGAGAGCGTGCCTGTGCACCCAGTAGCACCAAGGGGCCTGAGCAGGTCTGGTGGGAGGAGGGACTTCTGTGGCCACTCACTGGGTTAATGTCACATTTAATAAAGCTGACCTTTGCACCCCAACTAGATCTGTTTTCCCCTCCCCCAATCAGGACACTCTGCTCTCCAACTTCATGGTGTTCCCTCCAGCCCTTCAGTCCTCTGCTCAGCATCTAGAAGGCTCTAACCAAGGGGCATCCTACTGTCTCGTGTGCAGCAGCCTAGAGCACAGCCCCTGGAGGGATGAGCCTCATGGCCTCACAGCTACCAAGGCTGACTTCCCAAGGCCCATTTGGCTCTGTATGCCCTCCCTGCGCTGGCTCCTCCATCCATACCCGCCGTGTGCAGCACTCCACACATGCTTCTGCTCTGGCACTCACCATGTACATATCCAACTCCCACTCATGGTCCCCTAGGCTTGTCCCCTCCTGTGCACATGTCCTTCCCTCCACTCCTCCAAATGTGCCCTCCTGTACCTGGTGCACACCTCTGTCCTGGGCACGTGCCCCTGTACAATAGAAGGGAGGTGTTAGGAGGCTCTCGTGCTTCCAGACACACAGCAGGATGACTGGGCATCTGAGGGGCAATGAGCCACGGAGCTGAGAACAAGGACTGGAGCCAGACAGCCTTGAGTTCAAATCTCAGCCCATTCTCTGTGACCCTTCCCTGTGGATACCTTAACAAATGACCACAAACTTGGTGTCGTAAAATAAGAAATTTTTTCCCTCATAGTTCTAGAGGCCAGAGGGTGGAGGCTCCACGGGAGACCTGGTCTCTCGCCTCCTCGAGTTTCTGAGGCTGTCGGCAAATCCTTGGCCTTCCCAGGCTGTGGTTCTGTCTCCATCTTCCCGGGGCCTCCTGCCCTTCAAGTCTGTCTGTCCTATAGAGCCGTGTGTGGCTGCACTTAGAGCTCACCTGGCGGATCCTCAATTTAATTACATTTGCAAAGACCTTTCTTCCAAACGAGGTCACGTTCTCAGGTTCAAGGGCTTTGATGTGGATGTCTTTTGGGAGGGCTGTATGTCACCTGACCACATCCACTCACTAGCTGCGTGACCTCAGGTAAGTGACTTAATGCCTCTGGGCCTCAAATGTCATCTGGCAAACTAGGACCAGGCCCCTGGCAGGTGGAATCTCCACATGGCTCTGGATATGACTTTGGTGGCCTTGGTGTCAGCACCCACTAGGTGACCACAGCTTCTGCCATGGGGAAGTCACATTTGCTTTCAACAATGAGCAGGCAACTTTCATAACTGCATCTTGTTTTGTGCTTAGGTATTTGAAGTACACACCGGACCAGTACGTGGAGACCGATTACACCATCATCTATTTCCATTATGGCCTCAACAGCCAGAACAAACCGTCCCTGGGCTGGCTCCAGAGTGCCTACAAGGAGTTTGACAGGAAGTATGTGCCCAAGGGCCATGGGGGGTTGTGTGTGGGCTGAGTGTGTTGGGAGGTGGCACTGGTGACATGAGGACTCATGGGCTGTGCAGTGGGAGGGACATCTGTGGTGTCTCACTTTAGAAGTGGATGGTTTCCATTCTGGGGAAAGCCATGAATTCTCTGAAAATTTAGGTCCTGCGTCCTGGTAGCAGATGCTACCACTTGTGCACAGAGACATAGCAGAAGGTCACATCGCCAGATGGAGCTCAGAGGCCGCCCATCCAGTGTGGTAGCTGTCTTGTGTTCACACTGCAGGAGCAGAGCCTTCTGGGAGGGGACTTGAAGTGGTGACTTCCCAGCTGGTGGTCATTTAACCTGAGCCAGAGGGCTCTGAGCAGATTGGGAGGAAGGTCTTGGTCATGCTTTTCAAATTGTCATATGGCGGGAGCTGAACTCATTCTACTGTGAATTTCCTACACACCAGGCAGGTAGACAAGGTGGGGTGCTCAGGGTTACAGATCTTGGCTCAATAGAAGCAAAAAGGTAGGGCACTCTAGGTATCAAAACCATACACAGTGGGGTGTGCGGAAGAGGTAAACCTGTCACCAGGGGCCTGCAAGTGGGGCTCCAAACCAAGCAGATGGGTTTTCCGTGACAAAGGCTTCAGTCATCACTGCCGCACACTGCAGCACCCTCCTTCCTGTCTCTGCCTTTTGGGTCTTCACCCTCCAGATGGATCCACCAGGTCCTTCCTGGGAAGGATGAGCTCATCACACCCACGAGCTCACAACCCTTTCCAGGGATGCTCGCTCTGCTGTGGTGGCACCTGATGGAATCCACTGCCTCTAAGAGGAGTGGTAGCTGTGTGGCCAGCTCTTATGCAACTCCAGGTCCCTGTCAGCCTCCTCTACCCTGCATCGAGGGCCTTTTTAAACATAACACATCCGTATTTCTTGGAGGATGCACTGAAGCTATAAACTTCTCCCCCAAGTTTCACCTGCAGCTGGAACCCCCACCATGGCACATGTCTAGGTCATTCTGTAGTGTGGCCGGTGGTGACGGTGGGGCGGGGTCGGGGTGGGGGGGCTGCTGACGTCAGGCCATGAGGAGTTGCTCTTGCTTTTCCTTGCTTATTTGCATTAGAAGGGGCCCACTGTCCTGTCTTGTTCAGTGGCTTTCAAGGCGTGGGATCATTATCGCTGCTCAGAGGGTTCCAGATTTGCCCCCATGGACCGGGTCCTCTGGCTCTGGGTCCTTCGATTTGCCTCTTCTTGGTCTGAGCACTTCCTGTGCATCTGGTGCACAGTTGCACCAGGCTCTTCTGTCGTTCTTGCCCCAGCTCAGGAATCAGCCAGTCTCTGAGGACCTTGGTCCTTCCAGCGGACAGTGCTGTCAGACACCATGACCACTGTGTGCTTGTGGTTTTGGTGTATTACAGTCCCAAGCCCTCTCGGGTAAGAGTTGGAGTGTGTGTGTACTGTACACACATGCACATACACATCATGTATGGACGTGTGTTCACACGCCTGATCCCTGCACCCACTCCACACATATGTCCCAAGTTCCCCGTGTCTGTAGTTATAGTTCTCCTTCTCAGGGTGACCCCTTCCGTCTCAAGCCTGGGCTCCTATGCTCTGCTCTGTATACCTCCTCGCCCCAGGCTGCCTTTCCTCTCTGCCCCCGCTCAGACGCTCTCCTCACCCTGTCTGGGTTCTGACATCTCTATGGAACTGCATCACCCCCGGCTCCTTTGCACACCCCTGGGGGCTGGCCTGGTGGATGCTTAACAACCAGCCCTCGAAGGTGTTGGGGTAAGCTGGTAGTGTTTGCAGGTTTCCGTGATCTACGTCTTGCTGCGTGGCCAGATTCTAGCTGCCGGGGTGGTGTCACTGGACAGAGTCGGGAAGAGTGGGGTCACAGCCACCTTTATAGATGTCCACCACACACATACAGTAGACAAAAATACTTCGAGCATGCAAGAAATCATAAGTATAGTAAATAATAAGGTTAAATACTTATTATTATCTTTCTGTTTAATGTAATTTGTTTAATTATAAGTTTACAGTATTTCATATTTAATAATAGCTGTTTTTCACAGCTGGCCCCCAAAATTCCTGGGATTTTGGAAGTCGGCCTTTGTGGGTGGGTCAGCGTTAGCTCTAACATAAGCTGGTTGTGCTGATCCCTATCTTCCCTCTGGGGCTGTGGCTCCCTGCAGGCCGTGAGGTCCCCAGCTGGCACATGACCTGCTGGAGCCTCAACGTGTCAGGAGGCCTCCATCCCCTCCTCAGGTGGTTGCCTGCCTCCCCTGTTCAACCTGAATGCTTCGAACTGAAATATTCCAGAAAGGGTGGGGGGCGGGTAGAGAAGGGAAGGAGGGAGGGAGGGATACAAAGAAGCCTGGTGTCCCTCAGGGCCACCCAGCACTCTGTGGTGTAGGTTGGTTCCTTAGCTGGACGCTCACTGCTTGGCGGTTAGGTTTTTGTGGTCATAAACCACACAGAGTTCCCTTTAGCCCAGGGCCCTTCCGGGCAGTCATGGTGCTGGGGAGAGGCTCTGGTGGGTTTCATTCTGAGTGCTGGGCTGGCCATATCAGCTCTCAGGACAGATATGGCCTCCTCCAATTGCAGCGAAGTGCTTCCTGGTGGGGGGCAGCATAGAGGGACCTTGCCTTGCTCTGAATTGGACCCCTTCTGGTTTCCGTTCAGCATCCTTAAACTGCCCTGTTGAGAAACAGTATTCTGAGGCTCAGGTGGAGGGATGCAGTGAGGCAGCCTGGGTCTGAGTCAGGCACCTGAAGGCCTCTCGCCCTTCCCTCCTCAGGTACAAGAAGAACCTGAAGGCACTGTATTTGTGCACCCCACCAGCTTCATCAGGGTGCTGTGGAATATCTTCAAACCGCTCATCAGGTGCGTGGTGTCCTCGGTGAGGACCTCATGGGGTCCAAGCTTCCCACTGATGACTCTGTGGGACGCCTTCCCTATCCAGGTTCCATCTCTGGGGTAACCGTGGGTCTGTGCACCTCGCCCACACGGTGTCCCAGGATGGCCATGGTCAAACACCATGGCCCTCTGAGGGTCATGGACGGGAACACTAGTCTGTGATGCCTGTGAGGTTTTACGCCTGGTATTTTAAATCCCCTGTGACCTGAGCCAGACATAATGTAGCTCTGTCTGGGTCCCCAAGGCCACTGAAGTTCACAGAACTCAGAGACGGATTTCCTCTCTGGTGTGCCCCAGGGACACTACATAGCTGGAAATGGGCAGCAGTATGAAGCCCAGGAAGACAGGTGGGATGGGCATGAGTTCCCTCTTTTCCCAGAGGATCCTGCAGCCAGACTTGGGAACCCCAGCAGCAGCCTGTGACACAGTAGAGTGCTGTTCACCAGTGAAGCCAGACAAAATCAGTGTCCAGGTGTTTTCTTGGGGTTGGTCCCGTAGACACGGAGCCCCTCATGGCTGGCCTCAGTGACTCAGTGTCAATCCCTCCTGGGGTCAGACGGAGAGCTCTAGGCCCCAGTCTCGATCCCACTGCTGATATGAGTGGCGTGTTTTGTGTGGCCCACAGTCCCAGGTACACAGAGACATGGCCTCTGGAAGGATGCTCTGAGGGCAGGACTTCCTCCAGAGCAGGTCAAAGCCAGCTCTTTCTTTGTAAGTGCAGGGATTGGATGCCAGCGTCTGCCCAGTTAACCCCATACCACACCGCCACCCAAGCAAACAGCCTGAAGAGAGGAAACCACAGTCCAGAAACCTGGTGACTTCTGTTGGCTTCCTCCACATTTATACTTTTCCCTTCTGCATGATTTGTGCCTCAGTATCAGAAATCAGTAGCTCAAGGATGATGGTGAGGCCTCAGGCTCTGCCAGGTCACACTGGTCTCTTTGTCTCCATTTTGGCCGCACGTGTCAGGCACAAACTGTGTGTGCAGCCATGTGATAGGAGCAGAGCATGAAAAGACAAAACTCACTGGTACTGTTCCTGTCTGGCAGCTCGGGTCCGGCCCAAGGTGAGCCCTATCCAGAGGGCCCAGGTGTGTAGGGGGGCAGTTAGGATACTCAGGTGAGCCAGTTTTCTGGCACCTTCATCCCTCACCTGACAGCCGCTAACCCTGCCCCTGTATCCCTGGGTCTCTGTCTGTCACCACACCCAGACCACAAGGGTTGGTTGGCATTGGCCCTTGGGTACTGGAGACTGTTCTTTACAGGTGTGGTCAGCTATATAATTGCTAATAGTAATCCCTGGAGCCTGCAAACACGTCACCTTCCACAGCACAGGAGATTAAGTTGAGGCTCTTAGTGACTGGCTTATCTGACCAGGCCTGAGGTGACCAAAAGGGGTCATTGAAAACTGAGACACCAGGAGAGAGACCTGGTGGTGAAGAAGGCCAGAGACACAATTGTTGGCTTTGAAGATGGAGGCAGGGGCCATACAGGATGTGGCTGCTGCAGATACCAGAAAAGGAAAGGAAACAATTCTGTCTGATGCCTCCAGCTGGGGAAAACAGCCCTGCTTACACTTGCCTCTCCTTCCCCCGTCCTCTGACCTCTGTGCACTGTGACCCTCCACCTGTAGGAGGACACGCTGGTGGTGCTGCAAGCCTTGGAGTTTGACAGCTTGTTTTCAGCAGCCACAGGACCCCTCATTCCCACTCCAGTGCCTCAGATTGGGCCCCACCTGCATCTGCCCACCAGAGCTCGGGGTTCTGCAGGTGCGTGGCACACAGGAGGGAAGCAGACAGCCACAGAGAGGTGGTGTTGTTTGGCTCTTGCATGGGCAAGGGTGTCCCAGGAGGTCTCCCTGCAACTCTGAAGTGACACCTGTGTCTGAGTAGTTCCTGCAGGATGGCCAGGCTCCCAGTGGCCCTCAGTGGGATCCTCTGTCCATCAGCAGGGCTTTAACAGCACTTCACAGCCCTGGTAGAACCTCTGGTGTCCTTAAAGAAGAGTCCAGAGTGTCCCCAAGTCCTGTGGAATATGAACAGACAGGTGACATGGACACTTCTGTAGGACCCTCCCTAGCCTGTCCCCTCAGGCCCTGGGTACTGGCACCCAGGCAGGACCTTGTCCTCTGCATGCAGGGCATATGGTGCTTTGGTGGCTCTTCTGCAGCCCCAGCCTTCAGCCCCGGGTCCCTTGGCCTTCTACACAGCAGTGTACTTGAGGAAAGATCTGGCCAAAGTCATCCCAAGAAAGCCACCTTGCAGGTGGCTGGGGGTCTGGGCACGCAGGCTAATTCTTCCTTGTCCACCAGGTGGAGCCAGTGCACACAGCTGGGCCTCCCTCCAGGTCTGGGCTCAGGCAAAGGCCAGATTGTTCCTGAACCAGGCTCAGGAAATAGGGGACTGGTGCTGGGCGGGTGTTTTCCTCTGCTCCTTCATTTGTCCTCCTAACGAGACCCATTGTTTTGGTTTTCTTTTGCAATGGTAATGTGAATTATTTTAATCACACGGTATATACAACCTTGAGAATACACGAATACTTACTTATTTAAGACTTGCAAATTGCCATAACAGTAACAAAACATGTTTAGTTTTGCTGAATATGTGACATTCCTTTTCTGGTAATACTGATTCTTTACCCACATTCAGAGTTGAACATATTAACTATATACAATAAGAAAATGGAAATAAAATGAGTGAATTTTGCAGGAAACTGAGCCTCAATAATACCAGTAAGACAGGGAGTGAGTGTCTACCAGGTGTCAGGCAGGGAACTAATTTGTGCAAAGTCTCTTCTGCTGGCCAAGGTGGGAAAGCCCCCTGAGGGCCCAATGTCCTGAGAGGTAGCATGATGGGTCCCAGGTTCAGGGAGAGGATGGAGTTGCCAGAGGAGGCCCGGGGCTTGTCTGGCCTGAGGCTGTGCGTCAACCTGGGGTCTCCAGAGAAAATCTTAGAGTCTTGTTTGGTCTTTGCCTGTGGGGATGTCTCAGAAGAGAGATGGTGAAGTGCAAAGCTGCCACCCACCAGCAACCTGGGGCAGCTGTCCCCCAGCAGGCAGGCAGGGGGTCCTCTGAGCCTAGGGCCCACCCTGCACCCTGAGCAGATCAGAGTGCTTGTTCCCATGGGCTCTCCTGCATCTATGCAAAACCACAGCAGATTCCACTGGAGGCAGATATTCATTTTTATGCAAATGAGCCTCTGCAGTGTGTTTGGTGCATCGCAGATCAGATCGTGAAAGAGAAAACACAGAACATGTGCAGCCTCAGTTATGTGCCGGTCAACTGTGTCAGCACTCAGTTTCCCAAAATGAAAAGCGCTGTGCCTCTCTCGGCTCTCCTGGTACCCCACTTTTGCCCTGCCCCGCCTAATCCCTTTACTCTCTTGCTTCTTCCTCAGTCACAAGTTTGGGAAAAAAGTCACCTATTTCAGCTACTTGAGCGAGCTCCACGAACACCTCCAGTGGGACCAGCTGCTCATCCCTCCAGAAGTCCTACAGTGAGTGTCCCCCCATTGACCACGCAGAGGCTGGAGAAAGTGCAGCTTGGGTCCCTGAAGTTCTGGCCCACCCCACTCATATTGAAGACTAATTCTCACACACACACACACACACACTTGGGCCGGATATCTGCGACATCAACACAGATGCATGGTAAAAGGCACAGGCTGCTGACAGAGAGAAAGGAGCCTGTGGAGGCTGTGTGTACCAAGGCTTTTCTCCCCACCATGACAAAAGTGATCAGAAACATGAGTCTACTATGGTGACTGCTGGGCGCTGCTCACCATTTGCTGTTTCTGCTTTTGTGCAGAAAATTAACAGAATTTCTCAGGCATGTGACTAACACCACAAACAGGATGAAATTTTTCTGGAAATCAGCCTGTCCCATGTTTTGCTGGAAGCTTAGTTGGTGTGTCTGCTGCAGGGCTGAAGCTTAGAAGTAGATGAATAGATAGCAGCTTGGGCCCCACCTCTGTGGGGCAGGCCAAGGACAGTGGGTCTCTTAAGCCTGGCCCTGGGTCCCCTTGCCCTTTGCTTATCTCTCTTTGAGGGAGCAGGGTCCTCATACGAAGCCTGATGTGGTGAGGTTGGAGGCCTTGCAGGGAATGGGTGTCAAGACACATGCAGAGGAAGGAGAGTATGTGGAAGGTGTGGTCACTGCCCTCAGGACACTTCCAGGCTACCAGAGACCACAAGTTAGTGACAACAGAGGCTGGAGGAGGCACTGAGCTTAGCTGGGGAAGGGCTGTGGGTGGTGGGGAGGAAATCCCAGAGACTTCTAAGAGGAGGAGACTCTGGAAGTGAGTTTCATAGGGGTGCTGGCTAAATGAAGAGGCCAGAGAACAAGGTGTCCAGCAGTAGGAAGTCTTTCCAGCTTTTGTGCAAACACAAGTGGGTGAGATACTGGGGTACATTCAGAGGTAGCAAGGAGTCCTACATAACCATGGAGAGAGGGGAAGCATGAAGCTGGAGGTTGTCTTGGGCAGGGGAGTCCCCAGAGGAGTGTGGACTGGGCCCTGAGGCCATGAGGACAAGGGAATCTGTGGTTATCTGTGGGCTTTGGCAAAACCCATCCCCAGGCTGCACTGGGGTAACTGGGGGCTGGCTCTGGGAGTCCACCAGGCTTAGGAATTGTATTGTCACCAGCCTCGTGGTGGAGGTGGGATACTCTGGTGACAGAGATTTCAGGGCTTCTTGCATGGGAGACTAGATTGAGGGTGAGATGGGGTGTAGTGCGGCATGAGGCACCTGGCTTTGGCTTCTCAGGGAACACCAGGTGTAGTCTGGGGCACTGGGACCACGCAGGTGGCAAGTGGCATTGAGGATGTGGGTCCCATGTATCAGCAGGGACGAGGCACAGAAGGGACTGGGCTCAGGCATCAGGAGCTCCTGATCTTAAGGCAGCCAGGGCCTCCCAGAGTAGCCCAGGTAAACCCTGACCTCTGGTGGGGGCTGGGAGTCTGGGTTTTACTCACGTGCCAGGTAGACACCATGAGAAGTGTGATCTTGAGATCAGGGGCATATCACCAGACCTTGCCAAACCTCAGGTTCCTGATCTGTAAAGTGGTAGGGTGTAATCCCTGCTGCAGGGTTGCCGTGAGGGACAGAGAGACATCTCAGAGTTGTTAGGTGCTGGGTGCACTGTGCGTGACAGCAATTCATTCCTTCGCAGCCTCAGGGCTTAGCCTAGAGGGCCGCCTTCTCTAAGACCCTCTTTGAGCCCCCACCAGCCACCCCTGCCTGACCATTGCCAGTGCCCCATGATGCCTGGCTGAGGCACTGCCCCTGTTACTGACCCACTCATGAGCTGCTTGCAAAGGTCAATATATCCCGTGGTGCCTGGCACACAGAAGGGCCTCCATTTATATTTCCCTACATGAAGGAAGGAAAGGCAAGAGGGAGGGAGAGAGCGAGGGAGGCATAGGGAACGGCAAAGCGTCTGGAAGCTATCAGATGCTGCACAGAGGCTTTATTCCAATCCAACCTTGCCGCCTCCCTCAGTTTACCTTCTCAGCTCATCTGCTTGTGTTTTGTTCGCTCACCGCATGTATGTTAGCTGAGCACAGCTATGCAGTAAGCCCAGTCTGGAGCTGGGGTGCGGTGCGGAGCAGAGGGAAAAAGTCCAGTTAGCATCATGAACCAGCTCTGTCTTACGTTCAGATGCTCAGAGATCAGGTGGCGGCCATGCTCGGCCCTGGCTGACCACGTGGCAAGTGGGCAGAGGGGAGTTCTTGGTTGGGCAGGGCAGGGCTGCCCTGGCCAGGGACTGGCAGGAGGAGCTGCACATTTGCCCAGGGTTAGACTACGAGCTCTCTTGCCTGTTGCGTGAACATGCCAGGCAGTGGGGGATTTAGAGGCTGTGTGGGGTGAGAGAGAGGCACGAAGTGCCACTTGAGCCCAGTAGGATCAGATACTCATATCCCATAGATGTCTGTGGGCATCTGGTCCCCATGTAGGCCTGGAGGTGGCCTGAGGGCTGTCCCCTGTGAGGCAACCCTGCTTCTGTCTGCAGGTATGACGAGAAGCTCCGGAACCTGCACGACGGCCGGCCTCCCCCTCCCACAAAGATGCCACCACCACGGCCGCCCCTGCCCGCCCAGCAGTTTGGTGTCAGTCTGCAATAGTAAGTAAGCTGGGTGCCTGCCCAGTCTCCCGGAGCCCCAGGTCACCATGGGGCCGAGTGCCTGCTGCTCTGTGTGTGTCTGCGCCGGTGCGGGAGACCCAGCAGCAGGCAGAAGACAGGGACCTGACCTGGGGTTCCCGCCCCAGCTCACCCTGGCCCCTCATCTTCCAAGTGAGGTTTGCTCATGTGACTTGTTTCGGCCAATGAAATAGCAGCATCGGGTGCCACACGGGGTGGGAGGAGTGTTACATCAGGAGCCCGTGCACTGTCGCCTCTTCAGATGGCACGTGGTCACCCACATCCCTGAGCAAACACAGCTTGCCGTGCCCTGTCACACCACGCTGTAGGGGCCAGGAGAAATAAGCCATCAAGATTCGGGGATTCATGGGTAACCTCCTGACTAGTGCCAGTATTAGTCATGACCTTGAACTCACCCCTCCTCTTTTCTCTGCTGGCTTGCTTACTTCTGAAGTTAATGAGGTGGATTGTGTGTTGGTTTTTTTGTGTGTTGTTTCGTTTTGTTTATGTTTTTTAGCATAACTGGGTTTGCACTCAGGACATGGCACTTGCTGGGCAGACTCTACTGCCCTTTTGTTTAAGAGTATTTTTCAGATAGGGTCTCGAGTTTTTTCCCCCACTGGCTTTGGACTGAGAGCCTCCTACCTATGCCTCCCAAGTAGCTGGGATTACAGCGGTGTGGCATCACACCTGATTGCCATCTTTAATCTTTAATGGCTCCTTGTGAGTCATTTGGTGCCATCTGCCTTTCCCCCTACCTATTTACCAGGTCAACCTCACCCATCTTTTATGACTCATCTCGGTGACCCTCTTCCAGGAAGTCTTCCCTGATGCTCTGAATCCCCAGGTCTGCCCACACTGGGTCATGAGCTTGTCCCTCCTTGTATCCCCTGCTCTGGCCATTGGCCTGCCTGACAGCAGACAAGACAGTGCACTAGGAGCCCGTGGGGAAGTTGGGTCAGATCTACACAAGTTCAGTAAAACCCAAGTGGAGGGATGTCCTGTACCCTGGAGAGCAGGTTGCTCACCTCCATTTCAGGTAGTCACTTGTTAGAAACTCACATGGGGTTTGGTTTTTATTTAAAATCCTGACAATCTTTGAGGTCCGCTGTGGACTAGCAAATCCTTGGGAAGGTTTAAGCCTGGAGGGGCACACTTGTCCCTTGCCTTCCTAGGGCTTGGATCATCCAGACGGGCTCAGGGCATCAGCGGGACATCACTCTGTCCTTATGAGAGGAGGTGGGGGGGACCAAGTCAGAGAGGGCAGCCTGTGGATGGAGGCAGAGGTTGGAGTGACCTGGGGTCAGGAGTCAAGGTACATAGCTGTCTGGAGCTCTAGAAGGCAAGGGCTGGATTGTCCCCAGAGCCCCCGGGGCCAGCCCTGTCAGCCCATTTTAGACCTCTGACCTCCAAGGCTGTAGGATGATTCCATGGGTTGTTTTAAGCTATTGAGCTTCTGGTGGTCACCGCAGCCACCAGAAAGAAATGTAGGGGTGCAGGGATGCAGTTTGGATGATGTGCCAGGCAGGGAGGCATGTCCAAATCCTGGTCCCAGAGCGAAGCAGGGGACCTCAGTGACCTGCTTGAGCGGAGCAGGTGAGGCCTGACGGGGAGGTGTGAGTGGGCATCTTGAGTGTGTCACAGTCAGAGGGGACCATTGCTCCAACACTGTCTGCTGGAATGTCCTGCTGTGATGGGCGCAGGTCCCACATGGGAGCCACAGGCCACACGTGGCTCATGGGCCCTCACTCTGACCTGGGCTGTTGCAGCAGTACATTTCTGATTTCCTATCACTTCAACATGATGTGAATTTGCTCATGACTGCCCCCATACTGCACCATGGCACCTCTCTGCCTGGCACACGGTGCTGCTCAGAGACGTATTTTGTGAGCCACTGAGAGAACACGGTGTATGTTGAAGTACACCGTTCGGGTCACCCCTAAACATGTCTGGAGCACAAATTTGCCTACCAAACAGTTCTTCCCTTTTCAAAGGAAATGTGCTGGTGGCACACATCATTGACCCCAGAGGCCAGTAATGACAGGGCAGGGTAGGTGCCTTCAGGGACTATGGACCCTGGGGCATCAGGCTCAGGAGATCTGGGTGACCAGCAGGTCCCAGAATTACAAAGCCTTTGGGTGACAGTTTTCCCGGAGGTTCTGAGGCCTCTGTGCCCTCAGCCTGTCACTCTGATTCTGCTGGGCTGTTCCGCTTTTGGTGGTTCTGACCAGAAGCATGAAGCCATGACTCATGACTTCTAAAGCACCCACTGAGCAACATCGGGAAACTGCTGACCTCTTGGCTCTGCTGAGGCCCCCCGAGACAGGACACTGCTGGACTTGCCTCCGAGCACGGTCAGGCCAAGTTGACAGAGCTGTCAGAGCAATGTTGGGATCCATTCCCGTTCCAGGGCCACCTTAGAACTCTTCAAAGTCAGTTCGTTTAAAAACAAAGCAAAAATATCAGTTCATTAAACAAACAAACAAAGCCAGGGGTGCAGCTCAGTGGCAGAGTGCCTGCTTATCATGCAAGAGACCCTGGGTTCCATCCTAGCACCACAAAAAAAAAAAGTTCATTACCTCTTTCGGGAATGATGAGTATATTGTACAGCCTTTGAAACAGTCTGTGCATGCCATTTTCAGAGAGCCTCTTTAAATTAATATTTTATGCTGTTTCATTGCCAGTGACTATAATAAAATGCAATAAACATATTAAATAAAACACCAGATATGTAATTTGTTTGGACTGTGAATGAATGAAAGTCATTAAAATTCATAACCAAAACCTATTCACAAATGTTAATTTGCTGATTTAAGTTCACAGGCGCACAACAGAAAGCTGTGGCCTTAGAGCGAGCTACTTCAGCTAATGTACAGGAAGGCTGCCGTCCCCAAGGAGGGAAAGAACCATCTGAGTCCTGTCCTGTCTGGGCAGCTGTGGGGCGAGGAAGGGGATGAGGCCTCTTAAGCATGGGGGAGGAGAAGTAGGTGGTGGGGGGCTCTGGCACTTTTCACCGTGGGAAGTCAAGTTTATTACTTACTCCTAGAACTAGTTTCTTTCCCTGTACTTGGAGGTGAGACCCTGACCTCCTCACTCTCCAGAGCAAGGAAAGGGCAAGCCAGGTCTTCTGGCCCAGCTCCTTGCCTGCCCTATTCTCCTTCACTATCTCCTCCTCCAGGAAGCCTGCCCTAATGATTCCACACAAACAGGGGTGTGTGTTGCTCCTTGATGCTCGTGTCACACACACATACACACACACACACGCCCTGTGCCCTTGGCCCAGCACAGAGCAGGATTCAGTGACTGGGTGAAGGAACCTACAAGTGGGTCCAGGAACTGCCCGGCCCTGGGTCACCTGTTTTGGGCATGCAGTTCTGTGGTCCTGGTGTGTTCACAACCTTGCATAAGGGTCTCCATGATCTAATGCCAGATGTTCTCATCACCCGAGACAAACCCACCTCCATGAGCCACCATTCCCATTCCCCCTCCCCGCCTAATCTTCTTTCTGACTCTAGATTTGTTTCTTACAGACCGTTCATATGAATGCAATCAGATGACATGAGGCCATCCTTTAGCTATATTCTTTCCCCTACCATAAAATTTTCAGGCTCCACCCACAACGTCACTGAGTAGTCCATGCCATGACTTTTGTCCATTCTCTTGCCAGTGAGTGAACATTTGGGCTCTTTCTAGTTTTTGGCTCTTAAGAGTAATGATGTTTTGCCAGTTCACGAACAAGATTCCGTGTTTACACAAGCTTTCCATTTTCTTGGTTATCCACCTAGGAGTGGAATTGCTGGGTTGCGTAATAATTCTTTCCATTTGTACCTTGTGGAGGGCCTGCCAGGCTGTTTTCCAAAGTGGCTGCACCATGTCACATCCCCACGCAGTGACCGACACTTGTCTCTCTTTTAGGGCCAGGCTGATGATGCAAACGCTCACTCTGTTGTTTTGATTTGCATTTCCCTCGAAAGCCTTTTTATGTGCTTATCGGCCATTTGTGTATCATCTTTGGAGAAATGTCTGTTTATTTGTCTTTTTCTTGTTATTTGTAGAAGATTTGTTTTATATATTCTGAATAGTAGAGCCTTACAAGATCTGATTTACATATATACTTTCCCCCATTCTGTGGGCTGTCATTACACTTTCTCGATGACTTAGGTCTCTGACCATGTCAGGGAGGGTTCTGTAGATGACGTGACGTAGGGTCCAGCTCATTCCCTTCATGTCATTTCAACACCGTTTGTTGAGAAGACCACTCTGTCCTTCGTTAAGCTGCTCCAGGACCCCGGTCAAAACGAACTGACCTCGGGCACGAGGGTTTATTTCTGGGCTTTCTGACTATTGCACTGATCCACATGTCTGTCGTCAGGACGGTGCCACTCAGTCTTGATTACTGTAGCTTTGTGGTAAGTTTTGAAATTGAGAGACATGAGTCTTTCGGCTTTCTCCTTTTAATATTGTTTTAGCTGGACTTGGTGGTGCCTGTAGTCCCAGCTACTCGGGAGGCTGAGGTAGGAGGATCGTTTGAGCCTAGGAGTCCAAGGCCAGCCTGGGCAACATAGAATTGTCTCCAAAACAGAACAAAACAGCCCAGAAGATTGCTTTAGCTATTCTGCATCCTTGAATTTCTGAATTGATTTTAGAATCAGCTAGTTATTTTCCTCAAAGAGGCAGCTGGGGTTTCCACAGGGATTGTGCGATGCCTGTAGGTCCGTTTGGGGAAATTGTCGTCTTAACAGTGTTAAGTCTTCCAATCCGTAAGTCTGAGACTTCTTTCCACTTATTTCAGCCTTTTAATTTCTTTTAATGATATTTCATAGTTTCCAGTGGATAAATTTTGTTAAATTTATTTTTTAATTATTTTATTCTTTGTGATGCCATCGTAAATGGAATTGTCTTCGTAATTTAATTTTTGGTTGTTCGTTGCTGGTGTTAGAAATACAAGTGATTTTTGTGCTTTGAACTTGCATCCTGAAAGC